GCCCCGCCACTGACGGCGCCGGCTGAATCGTGTTTCGCGGGGAGGGCCTGTCGTACGCTGGCTGAGCCTGGTTTCTCTGCCTTCAGTCGGGGGAGCAGCTCACCAACATCAAGGAGCACACCAAGCAAATCAACGACATCCAGACCTCCAGGGACATGACCATGTTCATCACTGCCTCCAAGGACAACACAGCCAAGGTGAGCCTTCCCGCCGGAAACGCGGGGGCTGATGAGCTTCCCTTGCAGGACTCTGCTCGGAGCTGTGGCTGTCGCAGAGGTTTGCTCCTTGGGAAGTCAGAGCTTGGGGGCGAAGTTCAGTGAGGAAGGGGCGGCAGCACCCCGTTAAACGAAGAGCCAGGCATTGGAAACAATGTCCCCTAAGTTAAGGCTGCGGTTTGCCGCCTCTGGAATACCTTAGGCTGGTATTTTGGGATTCTGGGGAAACATCTGGGGGATTTGGGTGCCTGTGAGCGACTGTGGAGCTAACATCTGCCCGGGTAAGGCCCAGCCGCCGGATTTGTGCCAGTTGTTCTGGCCCTTGTGCAGAACAACTCTCCCATTTGCCTCCTAGCTGTTCGACTGCACGACGCTGGAGCATTTGAAGACCTTCCGGACGGAGCGACCGGTGAACTCTGCCGCGCTCTCCCCCATCTTTGATCACGTAAGAACGAGCTCGTTCGCTGTCACGGTCTCGCTGTGACCCTGTGTTATCCCCAGAAGCTGAAAGGCAGAGTGTCGCCAGCTCAGCTGAAAACCATCACCGTGGGCTGGGTCTGGGGAGCTTTACTGCGGTCTGGTGCAGGGAACAAGGCTCTGGTCTTCAAAGGAGCATGTCTGGGGGGTGGGAACGTCTTGGGGTTGGAGTCGGGCCCGCTCGTGACTTGGTGGGACCTGCCGGGTTCGTGGGAGGGAGGCTTCCCCAGGCCTTGGCTCGTCCCCTCCGGCCTCTGCGGTGCGCGCCGGCAGCGGCACTGAGGGGCTGTGGCTTCTCTCCCTCGCAGGTCGTGCTGGGTGGTGGGCAAGAGGCCATGGATGTCACCACCACCTCCACCAGGATTGGCAAATTTGAGGCCAGGTCGGTCCTTTTCCTCTGGCGGGGTCAAGTCCTCGCCCGGGGGCTCCTGCCAGGCCAGGGGTGCCACTCCCAGTGAATCATGCTCCGGGCAGGGCTGGAGGAGCCACTGAGCTGACGGAGCTTGCCTGGAGGAATCCCTGCTCGCCGCACTGACTCCCACTCCCTTCCAGGTTCTTCCACTTGGCTTTTGAGGAAGAGTTTGGCAGAGTGAAGGGTCACTTCGGTCCCATAAACAGCGTTGCTTTTCACCCCGACGGGAAGAGGTGAGGACCTGGGGGCTGTGCGGCGTGCCCCGGCCAGGCCTGGCCCGCTTCTTGGTTGGGATGAGTCCGGACTCGGCTCCACAGCGGGAACGGAGCCAGCACCTCCCTTAATGCTCCTATTCCAGCCCAGGCTGGGTGGGGGCTTCACTTCTGCCCCCCTGGGCTGCATCAGTGGGATTTTTTTCCTGTCCTGTGCCTCCTTTATTGGTTTCTGGGGTGGGTTGTGAGCGCAAACTCCAGCCCCAGAACGAGCCTTGACACCGTCTGCTCCCCCCCGCGGCGGGGGCGG